ATGGAGCCCGTGCTGCTCCGCGACTTGCGGGTCTCGTGGACGCTGACCGACATGCTGAGCCAACCTGCGGGGACGGGGACACCGGTGAGGGCGGCCGTTCTTTTTCTTTTATTATTGATTTCAGAGAGGACGGGAGAGGGAGAGAGACAGAAGCATCAATGATGAGAGAGAATCACTGATTGGCTGCCTCCTGCACGCCCCCTACTGGGGATCGAGCCCGCAACCCGGGCACGTGCCCTTGACCAGAATCGAACCCGGGACCCTTCAGGCCGCAGGCTGACGCTCTATCCATTGAGCCACACCAGCCAAGGCAAGAGGGGCCATTCTTGACGCAGTGACTTGGGGGTGGAAGCACAGACCCTGACTCCCCTGTGGCCCGGCCTGCCCCCACCCCTCCTCTCTGCTTAGCTCTGTCCCTCATGTCGACTGACTACATCGCGAGGGCCACACGGCGGCACGGCTGGCCGCACCGGCCCTTAGAAAACTGGTTTTGCTCCCCTGAGTTTGGATCCTCTCTGGAGCCAAAGGTCTTTGGCCTGATTACGAGCCACCCCCGGGCGGGTCCAAGCTGTGCCTCCCGTGGCTACAAAAAACAAGCAAATAGCCCTGGCCGGTCTGGCTCAGTGGATAGAGTGTCAGCCCGAGGACTGAAGGGTCCCGGATTCAATTCCCCATCAAGGGCACCTACCTTGGCTGCAGGCTGGAAGCCTGGCCCCAGGGGCCAGGGGCCGGCCAACAAGAGTCCCAAGGCCCCCGAGATCCGCCTCCGCCTGCCTCCCCCTGTGAGGCTCAGTCACTCTCTGGCACTGCTCAGGTCACATGAGACCGGTTCTCAGTCACCAGGTAGGAGCAAGTGGGTGTTCACCCGACGGATCCAGGTTCAAACTCGGCGCCGGCGCTGGGTCTGAGGCCACTCGGCAAACGTCCCTGGTAAACCAAGTCCAGCTGCCACCCTCTGGGTGCCCGAACAACTCTGTGGTGGGGTGGGGCTGTCAGGGTGAGGGCAGCGGAGTTTATCAGCCCCAGACAGACCGACAGACCACAATCTGGCTGTGTGCCCCTGTCCTAGAGCCACGCAACGGCAACGCGGTGTCCCAGCTCTGCCCAAGGAGCCCGAGCTCCGCCGGGTGGGGCTGCGGGAGCCGGGAGGATGGGCCTCGTGGATCCCAAGGGCGAGGTGCCAGCCAGGCTTGGGGAAGGCGGGACGAGCGGCCACCGCCCAGAGCCACACGACCCAGTCTGCCCTGGATTCTGCCCAGACCTCAGCAGGGCGGAGTCCCCAGGAGCGGGGCGGGTGGGGCCGCTGGGAGCCCAGAAGGTGGGGCTAGCGGGTCTCCCATGACGGGGAGGGTACCAGTCAGGTTCACAGGAAAGTGAGGGGAATGGCCCCGACCCCAAAACCACACAACTCAGACCTCTAAGCCCTGGCCCAGATCGCTGACTCGTCGGCAGGGCGCAAGCAACTCGGGTGGTGCAAGAGGGAGTCCAGAGGTGGGGCTCTTGCTCCCCCCAGGCCCGTGCAGGAAAGGGACTCGGTTCTGGGGCCCTGGCAGCTGTCCCTTCAGCTCCCTCCCAGAGCCACAAACCCCAAACCCCAAACTCTCTTCACAGGAGCAGCCCAGGGCGAGTGGCTGCAAACAAGATTTTTTTAAAAAAAATATATATATATTTTTACTGATTTCAGAGAGAGGACGGGAGTGGGAGAGAGAGAAACATCAATGGTGAGAATCATGGACTGGCTGCCTCCTGCACGCCCCACAATGGGAACTGAGCCTGCAACCTGGGCATGTGCCCTGACCCGGAAGTGAACTGTGACCTCTTTGGTTCATAGGCTGATGCTCAACCACTGAGCCACACCGGCCAGGACTCACTGGCAATTACTTACAGGGCACGACCTCCGAGCCTGGCCCTGGGACGGGTGTCATGGGGCCCAGAGGCTGCCCTGGCCTGGCCTGGCCCGGCCGCAGGATGCTCCCCGCCCCCGGCTGCATTGCCCAACCTCAATTCCGGACCCTGCAACACCTTTCCCCGAACGAGCTGGGATTGCTAAACCCTCTGGCTTCTGTCACTCAGTCGTCACACACTTTGCAAAATGTGGCCTTTCCCCTGGTGACTCCATCCACCCTGTCACGAGGGGCCTCCGGTCCGTGCGTCACGCTGGGGGCAGTTTGGGGGACTCCCAGTGGACATGAGCGTCGTCCTGGCTTCCATGGGTTTAAGGCACAGCATGTAGACGCTCCCGGGCCCCAGAGGGGCACCGGTCAGCCTGTTTAGAGGCCTGAATGGAGGACCTCAGGCAGCCCCTCCTGCCCACCCACACCCTCCCCTGCAGGGAGGCCCTGGGCCACCAAATAACAGTGTCTCCAGCTCACTGCTCACCATCCTTGAAGTTAACTGAGTGCACAAGGAAACACAGTAGCTAAGGGGCAAGACCTGCAGAAAAAACTCCCCAAGAGTGAATGGCCCGATTCACCAGGGGTGGGCACTGCAGCTTCCGGGGTCGCCTGCCCCGTCGGCTGCAGCGCTGGCCCTCCCGCCCCCTCCACCAGCCAGGAGTCAGCGGCCTCATGAGGGTGTCGGCTCATCGCTCTTCACAGAGGCCGGAGGCAGTGGGAAAGGCCCAGGCCCCCTGCTAAGTTGCAGGTAAGGAGGTTCCTAGTCACTCACTCACCCTGTTTCCCCAAAACTCCCAGGGGCCAGGTGCCGGCAGGGGAGCACGGATGGACAGAGCCCAGGTTCCCGCCTCCATGGGGCCGGGCTCGGGGTGGCCGGCACATGAGGAAACAACCAGTGGACAGGACATTTCCCCTTCCTGGAAGTTTGAAGAAAATTCAACAGCAGCGAGCCACGGAGCGCGGCAAGAAGCCCGTGGGCTCGGGTAGGCCCCTCGGAAGAGGGGACGTGTGAACCGAAACGAGCCAGGATGTGCGGATGGGTGTAAGGAAGGTTCCAGATGGAGCGCCAGCAAGTGCAGAGGATGGGTGGGAACGAGGGTGGGCTTCAGGGAAGAGAAAGGCCAGGGAGACGGGGCACAGGCAGGGGCACCATCACAGGCCAGTGGTGGACTGGAGATGGACAAATCCTGTGACAGCCTCACACTGAGAGGTGGGGTCCGTGTCCCCGAGCAGGTTCTGGGCTGCGTTGTGACTGAGGCCGTTTCTGGGCCCAGGCCGTCAGAGACGGGCAGCGTCCATTCCTCTCCCAGCGCTCCTCGGGAAGCCAGCCCTCAGAGCGGAGGAAGCCGGCAGCCATGCTGGGAGGAGGCCCAAGTCGCCCTGTGATGTTCCAGACCCCGGAGTGAGGCATTCACCTTGGACGTTCCGGCCACCGCGGACGGACCCCTAGCCAGCAGTCAGAACGGGGGTCCTCCAGACACACGACCCCAGAGACTTCCAGGGTCACAGGCCACCCATCCAGAAACCCGAGACGAGTCCTGATTGACACCGCAGGCTATGCTGAGGGCTAAGAGGCAACAGCCAACATGGCATGCATGCTCTCAACACAAAGACCAGCACGCAAACCAGACGGGCGGGAGGCCAGGACGGGGAGGCAGCCGGCATCTGGAGGCAGTACCTGCCCCAGCGGCACTGGCAGGACGCCAAAGCCGCCAGGAGGAAAGGTCGAAGTTCGTCAATGCCAGTGGTTAGGCTCAGGGCCCCTGAGGACAGCTCAGCCCTCACTGTGAGACCTTGGGAAAGTTAACGTGCCTCCCTGGTCTACTCTATCTTTTCCAACCATGAAGGGATGATGACGACAATCCTATGAAGATAGGGTTGTTGTGAGAATTAAACAGACAGGAAGCGGTGAGCATTCAGAGCGGCCGGGGCCTAGCATGCCTACCCCGCCAGCTGCGTTAGTCTCTTGCTGTCATTACCAACGTCGCTGAGGAGCCCAGCAGACATTCCCGACCCCTGCCTCAGCCCTAACCTCCGCTTGGAATAAGGCGGATTTTCACTGTCTGGACATTTTTAAGCGGTTTGATCTGTTCATGACTGGATAGTATTTTAATAATCAGGAAAAAAACACACTAGAGCAGTGGCTCTCAACCTTCCTCATGCCGCGACCCTTTAATACAGTTCCTCATGTTGTGGTGACCCCCAACCATAAAATTATTTTCGTGGCTACTTCATCACTGTCATTTTGCTACTGTTATGAATCGTAATGTAAATATCTGATCTGCAAGATGTATTTTGTCACAAATTGAACATAAAGCACAGTGATTAATCACAAAAGCAATGTGTAATTATATGTGTTTTCCAATGGTCTTAGGTGACCCCCGTGAAAGGGGTCGCGACCCACAGGTTGAGAACCGCTAGAGGTTTTTGTTTTTGGGGGGTTTTTTTGTCCAGCCGGCTGGATCTGGGTCACTCCTGGCACTGTAATGACAAGGACTTAGGCACTAGCCACATATCACACACATGCAAGGCTGCCCGGGGCAACAGCCACCCCAGGCTGGGACTGTGGGCAGACACACCACAAGTACCGATGCCCGCCCCGCCCCCGTGTCTGCGAGGACCTCAGGGAGCCCTGGGGGTGCAGGAGTAGCCATCCTTCCCATTTTCAAGTGGAAAACAAACGAAGCAGCCTATTAAGCACACCAATCTAATCGTTAATTGAAAGGAAAATTGGTATGACCACTGTAACTGAATCAGGGCCACAGATCATTCCAGATACGAGGCAACTACCAGACAATGGGCCCTTTCTCTAGCTGTTCCTGCCTTCCACCGCCCCCCCTTTACGGGAAAAAAAAAAGTGTATATATAGTTGAAAATGTACATGCCCTGGTTTGCACTTAAAATGCAATGGATTAGATTATTCGTATGTTTGTTGTGGATTTATTTGGATTTTGTTTTCCAGCTTTTCTTTTGTGTGTGAAAGGTTTCAAGGCTGCAGAACTGTCCCGAGAATTATATAACGCCCGCCTCTGCTTTCACGGTGTTACTCTGCTGGTTGCCACCCGGCCCCACCCCAGCCCTGGGCCTCACCCCTTTCTCGCATCCTCGCCTCGCCTCAGCCCCATCTCTCCTGCAGGGGATGGGCTGGCTGTGGCGGCGGCCCAGAGCACAGCCAGGCTCGGGGCAGGGTGAGGATGTTGCTTCATATGCCGCTTGGCAATCACTGTCCTTCCTCTTCAGACGGTCCCAGGATGTCCCCGTATCAGCTCCCCGGGAAGGGGAGATGAGGTGGCGGCCAGCCTACCCCTGAGCTCACCCCCAGGGCAGAACCCCCACCTCCACACCCTGAGCGCACAGTGAGACAACGTGGTTTCCAGCTGCCCTCAAATGTGCCATACACACCCCGAGTCCCCCCCCATCTGCCTGGGAGGGGACAGGAGGTCCCAGCAGACCCAGAGGGGCGGGCGATTGCTCTGCGCCCCATCCACGTGCTCCAGCCTTTTCACTTAACGCACCTGCACGTTAAGCACACTTGACCAAGGGCAGCCACTTCAGCTTCATGATTGATCGCCAGTCCCAGGCTGGCGGCAGCCTCCGGGGGCTGGGGAGCCGGAGCTGGCGCTGCAAGTGGATAGATGCTGTGACGCACCGCTCCCGGAGGAAGGTCGCATGGGGCTGGCCTTGCCCAGAGAAGGCGCGGGCAGGAGGTAAGGGGCCAAGGCCTGTGAAGGATGTAGCAACACTTGTTGCAAAGAATCGGTAAAGAATTGGGGTCGGGAAGGGAGCCAAATCAGAACGGGACTAGCGTGGACCTACAGTGTGCAGGGCTTCTCACGTGGAAGATTCAATCCTTCAATCCTCCCAACCGAGCCTGAGGGGGTTCTGACCGTTTTAATCAGGGGGGGTTAGGTTCTGCTGCAGCAACGAACACCCCCAAATCTCGGTGGCTTTAGAGGACAGATTGATTTCTTGCTCATACTACATGCATCGTGGTTCCAGTAAGGTGTGTGTGGGGGGGTAGGGGGGTGGGGAGGGTACCTGTCTCATCACTGCCAGTCCGGGGGACCCAGGTGACAGAGCAGCCACCAGGCCAAAGATAAAAGAGAGAGAGCCCCGTGGAAAGTGTGGGTGGCGCAGACGATTCAGTGTGAGGCCTGGAAGGACACACCTGGCTCCTGCTCCCATCTAATTGGCCAACACCAGTCACATGACTTCACCCAGCCCCGAGAGGGCCTGCAGTACAACCCTAGCACATGGCCCGTCTCTGTCCTTTGCAAACAAGGGAAGATAAGGGCCCGGGGTGAGTGGTGATGACAGTACTATTGAGGCAGAGTCATTACCGAGTGCTCCCTATGGACGGGCACTGTTCTGAGTGTCTTCTCTGCCCACCCCCGCCTCAGCCTCCGGTCCGATGACCATCTGCACTTTCCAGGCGGGGACCCTGGACCGGGAGACGTGGGCAACCTGCTCCCACCGCTGCCCTGTGCAGCCCAACATCTCCGCTGGGGCAGGGGGGGCCTTCGGACCAGGGTCTCACAAGCCCCGAGACTTGCTGGAAAGACAGCCTCTGGCCCTCGCTCCTGCCCAGACACACCCGGCCTGGCCCGCTGCAA